CTGAGCTCTTCCTCACCACATAAGGCCTTACCATCACAACTCCTGCTTCTCCATTTAAAATACATTAACTATCTGAGTATTTGGTGAAAAATCCATGTGTTGAATTGTGTGTGCCTTCAGGGCAGTTTTTGCTCTCTGGTTTCTAGAGCAACAAAAAGGCAGTCAGCGTGGGGCTACATTAAGAAAGATGTAAGGAAGAAAAAAAAAATTGCTTTAGCACAGTAGAGTCACTAAGCTTATCAGCACAGAACTTGTCTCCAATCTTTTTGAAAACCAGACCTCAGCCACATCCTATTGCAGGAGAGACAGGCTAGAGCATATGACTGGTGACTCGTACGCACCACCGGCCCTAAGGAACAGCAGCTCCAGACTGACTCAGAGACACGGAGCAAGACAGGACTGTACAGGATGGTAGTCTCATGCTGCATGCCGGAGGGAAGGCTCTGTGCCTGTGGCAGAAGATGGCAACCCAGCTGGTAAGAGGAAATGGTAGAGACATGTACACAAAGCCATTTTATGAGGGAAGCTACGAAGACACCAAGTTTACAGCTAGAGGCAAAACCAAATGCTAAACAAGTTTGCTTAGGTCTAAGGCTGCTGTGCTTTGGCATATGCAGTTGCAATCCTCCTTTTTCAGTTTGATTACTTTGAGTTTCCTGCCCCTATGACTTTTTTCCCCATGGGCTGTATTTATTTCACTGAAGATGGCTTTTTCCTGGCAGAGTACTGTACTGTGAAGTCTTTGGTGGCTTCTACAATTTAAACACTGTGAATTACAGAGTGTCACCAATGCCTCCAGCAGACAGACGGGATGTGAGAGCACAGTGATACTACAAGCATTTACAGTTGGATTTTCTTCCCTTCCTTTTTTTGTATCAAGGCACTAATCTCTTCAAGTACAAGGCATTGTATTGTGGATTGGAAGTGCTTATTCCTGACCTAAAAGGCAATATAGATTGAAGGCTGCTGGAGCCAGAACCCAGATTAATTATCAAAAAAGAATAATTACTTTTACTCCATTAACAGTTATTCACAGACAGAATTAGGTATCCAACTGAAAAACAGCCTCACTGGAAGAGGTTTTGCAGAAAACTAACTGGCTCATGTGTTTGATTTTTGACACAGATTACCACAGCAAGAATTGTTCCACCAAGCATCTCAACTCAATACCTTGAACTCATAACAAGGCTCTTGGTCTGCTCATACTCGTCCAAGTTTCCCAACAGAAGTAAAAGAACTGTCACATACAATCATATAAAGGGACTGACAACTGTCAGGCATGTGCACTTGTAGGATCAAGTTAATGGAGCATATAGTCATGTCTGTTGGAAGACACTTCTGGAGGTCATCTAGATCAAAGTCCTGCTCAAAGCAGGACAAATTACACCAGGTGGCTCAGGGCCACATCCAGTTGAGTTTTTAGTGTCTTCAAGGATATGGATTCCATAACCTCCCTCGACTCCTGTTCCAATTTCTGACTACTTGTATCATGATAATTTTTTCCTAAATGTCTAGTCAGAATTTTCTATACATCAGCTTTTCTGTGCTGCTTCTTTCCTGTCCCTGTGCCCTCTGAGAAAGGTCTGGCTCCATCTTCTCTGTACCTCCCATTAGACAGTTCAAGACAGGAGAAAGGTCTCCCTTAGCTTTCTCTTCTTAAAGCTAAGCAAACCCAGTTCTCTCTCCTCCTACCCCTTGTGCTCCAGCCCTTGATCTTGGTGGCATCTGCTGGACTCTCCACTGTGTCAATGCTTCTTCTCCTGGGGTGTCCAAAACAGGACACAGAACTCCAGATGCAGTCTTACAGTTACTGAATATAAAAGAACACTTACCTCCTCAACCTGCTGGCTTCATTTTACTAATGCAGCTCCCAATGCAGTTGGCTGCCTTTGCCATGAGGGCACACTTCTGGCTCCTGGCCAACCTGCTTTTGAACAAAATGTCCATCCCCTTTTCTGCAAAATGTCTTTTCAGCCAGTACTACTGCATGGGGTTATTCCAACCCAGATGGAATACCCAGTCACACTTATCCTTGTTAAACCTAATGGGGTTTAGTTCAGCTCATTTCTCTTGCCTGTCCAGGAACCTCCGAGTAACAGCCATGCCCTCCAGCATATCATAATTTACCTGCTAATGTACACTGCTCCTGATGGAAACAGCATGAAAAATCACGCTCCTTACCTTTTTAGAAGCAGTAGATTTTACAAAATGTATTGCTTGATTCCCTTTGCCCTGAACATGCTACATGCTCACATTAGCAGCTTTCTGAATGTCTTATGAATACAAAAGTGTTGCCTCTATTTTCTTTTATGGGTTTGAGCTCCTTCTGGCATCACCCAGGATGCATCAGACCCCCATCCGACTGGTTTGGTCAGTGCCAGAGGGTAACATCAAGAAGTACCTAGGCCACAGAAGAGAACCTAGAGGCATTTGAACTGAAAAAACCATAACACGTAGGGACCACGCAGAAGGACACAGAATGATACCGAGCTGAGACAACAGGAAATGTTACAATTCAGTTCAACAAATGCTGACAAATATCAGATCAGCAATGTTTAACTGTTTTAGATTAGTAAGAAATCCTGGGACAAAGCACCATAATGGAAATCCTTTCCAAAACTTTGTTCCATTACACATCAACATTTTTGTCTGGATGGAAACAACTTTTCTTGACATAACAGTTTCTCATCACATGAGAGTTCTTCTTTATTTGTTTGGTTTTTAAAACCAGTGCTAGACTAGCAAGAATAATGTAATTCACTGTCAAGAAGCATCTACCATGATTTATCATGAGAGCTAAAAAGGGAACATAAGTTTTGTCACAGAGTAATTCAAACAGACAAATCTTATGACACATTTCAAAGGCTGACATCAAAGCAATTTTATGTAGACTGTCCTTATACAGTAAATAGTCACATATAATATGCATGACAAAAATATGACAATTTCAGTATTTAATATCCAATCTAAACATAAGTATTCAGAAGGAAATATTTTTACACCATTTCAGTAGTCACTTAGCTCAGTAGTTGGTTGCAATAATCCTTACTGTTTTCAGGAACAGGATGGGGCTATAAACACAAGAACTCCCATTAAAGTTAATGCATGGCAAAGTTCCACTGCAACCCTCTGAAAAGCAAAGAGTCACAATAAAAGAAATTCAGACAGTGAAGTACATTGAAATATATTGTGTCCTACAGTAGAGTATACTCTACTGGTCAGAAACATGATGGTAACTTCAAAAGGCACTCTGAGTTAAACTACAGTAACTCCGGTCCACAAGCATTTTAGAATCTTGGTGTTGTATAGTAGAAAAAAATCCTATATTTATTCAATATAAATTGCTTTAATCTCTGTCCTAGCCCCAGAGCAGTCAAATTATATTGCACTTTTAAAAACATTCTGTGTAGGCTGTGATAAAAATCTAATATTTACATGTTGTGTTTGTTAAAGAACAATGCATTACTTTGTAAAATATTTTAACAACCAAGTTTTAGCACTTATTCTTGCATTATTAATATAACCAGAGGCCACAGCAATTTTTTTTTTTTATTAGCTACTATTCTAGCAAGATTTTTGGTCCTTCAAAAATTTGTTAGGCTGCAGTTCATATTCACAACTGGTATCAGCATTTGCCTGAAAGTGCAGTTGTCAGAATATTTAAATAAATAAATACATAATTTCTAAAGAAGTAATAGCTTTGGAGTTCTGTAAACAAGCTGCTGTGGAAAGTCTGTTCAAAGACTCAGTTTGGCATGTTACGACTTTAATTGGCAATACTTTAGAGTTATACAACCTCCGCCAGGGTAGAAAACAATTTGGTAGGCACATCTTATAAATCAGCCTGGAAAAGAGATCCAAAAAATACTGATTGTTCCTTAGGTTGAATGAATAAATAAAAATTATCAAAGAGTAACATGATCCACTGAAACCAAAGTTGACATTTATGTGATCCATAGGGGGGAGAAGAGAAAAGCAACTCTGTTCTTTTTTAAATATGACCTAAAGGAAATGAACAAGCCATAAATGAATATCCGATAACCAAGATGCACAGGACACAAAAGGTTGGCAGAATAAAATAAGCATTATAAATTTATGGAAATACTGATCTAGACAGAACTGGTATTTTAGCTGCATGTCGCCAGAAGGAAGTAATTCATTTTTCAATCCAAATTTCAAGAAACGTTCCAAATCCATGTTTGGTAAAACAAATTCAGTGCCAAGCACTAGCTCAGATGAAATTTTGCTGACATCTAGGTTGCCCTAGATTCCTGTTAAAGCATGAGCGGTAACAAACAAAACGTAACAACAGATGTACAGTTATGCCATTTACAGATAAATATATGTATATGCACGTTCTAAAAATTCGGATAATGTCAGGAGGTCTCATAGGCTGTGATGGATATATTTTATATAGTACAGTTGCAGTTTACATGTTCAATTTAATGACATACTCAAAGTGCTCTACATATGCACCCTTGTGCTTCTCTGTAGTTTTGTATTCCATATAGAATAGCTTTGGGTTTTCATCACTAAAAACTGATGGCTTTAAAGCAAGGAAAAGGTATTCACAAGTTTTTGTGTGAAACACAGGGTTTGCATTTTAAGATTGTTATTGGTTGATGAAGTGATTAAATGTTTCTGTTCAAAACCAAGAACCATGCTGGTAAGCTTGCTGTTAGTAGGGAATAAGAGCTGTCACAATATCTAATCTAATGCCTAGTCTGTGTAGTTGATAGAGCCTTCAAAGGGCAACTGAAACTCCTCCAATTCAGAAGCCAACCCTTTCTCATTGTCCATACAGAGAGATGTTTCTAAATTTGGTAATGAAAATTATTCTCCTTCTGTTCCCTCCAAAGTAGAGAATTAAAGGAATACCCAGTGCTACACCAGATTAAATCTCTGTCCCCTCACTAATAACCTGCATACCTTGCAAGCAAAGGTCAATTTTGTTTGAGAGGAAAAAAAACCCAAAAGTAATATAAAGAATTAATATAGCTCATTAAATAACTACACAATGTGATTTGTCCATAAATTAATCAGGTAAGCTGCAACTGTACTATACTTTAGCATATACATTAAACTTAACTGTAACTGAGTTAACAGCCACATTTGCCTTTTTCTTGCTCCTCATTCAGTTGTTCTGTAGAGCTGTGCCCATTTGAGCGCACTACTCCTTCTGGGATCCAGGATTTATCCACACACCGTTCCATGCGCTTCATAATGAGGTCAAGCAGAGTTTCAATGGCTTTGCTTACATTATTCCCATTAGCTGCACTGGTTTCAAAATATGGTATTCTGCAGAAGACAAAACCCACAAACTTAAATCACACCATTTATATTCATAGGAGCAAAACCAATACATGACTGCTGCCACATCCTTAGAAATCCCACAAATGCTGCTACTACTGCTCCATAGCAGAAAGTGGTCAGTGGTCTGAAATGCAAAATAAATTAATGAAATGGCTGACTCTGTAGTGAGGGAAGAAGGCCAAGGTTCAATTTACACCATGGAGTCCATAATTTACAGACACACTGGTCAGTACGAGTTCCCAAAGTTAGGGTCCCAAGGTCTGTTTTTTTCAGCTCTGTTCCCAAGAGATGCAATTACTTTACATGGCCTTGTGTGCACAGGTATTCTCCATACTGATTTCTGTCTACATCAGCTAGGGTGTCACTGCAAGAGAGAGAATGCTGGTATGGATGTTCCCCTGCAGGCAAGACAGTAAAGATTCCTAATGTGGTACTCTTACCGCTACAAAAGATGACTGTTTCCTCTGTTGACACCTCAACTATAAACTCTCTTACATACCCCCCCCCCAAAAAAAAAAAAATTCCCACTCATACCATCTATATCTTTGTTAAAAAAGGTTTCTGGGCACCTTGGTACTGAAAATACATTGCTAGTTTTCGTTACCCCTGTGGGCCAGGATGTTTCAATGGCCAGTCTGTGGGCTTGTGACCCGCGCTCAGTGCTCCCCACTGGGTGGTGCTGCGGTGGCTACGTCAGTGTTACTCCCCAACAATGACTGAAACAATCGCTTCATAATTTTATGTATTTCTTACATAACTTGCAAGATTCAATGAGCGATCAAAAATATTGTATTACCGTCTCCAGTGTGTGGGTCTCCTGCAACTGTTTTCAAAATACATCTCACTTACCAGTAAAAGGCCTTTCCACACAAAGAGGATATTCACTATCTCACACTTTCGTTACCAGAAGACTGTTTGCTGTAGCAGGATTTATCTTGCTTCTCTTCAGGAGCATTTGGGAAAATAACTGACTTTCAAAGAAAGCAGCTATCCTGTCTCACTTCTACAGGGCAGAGAACTTTGTAACTGCCTACAGATTGAACGCAATCTACAGCTTTGACTTTTAACTGCCTATTCCTAAATTCTGTTGGCATTTTCATCCACAAAGATAAACATTTCATAAATTATTTCCAGAAGGTGAAGTCTCATACAGAGAGATCCCTTTCCAACGTTTAAGAAATGGCTACATGCTACCTGCTGCTGTTTTTTGCTCCTTCACAAGCAGCTGGTGGAAGTACCAAGTGCACTTGCTGTTGTCTGTGAGACGTGGAATTCAACCAAGCATTTTCACAGAAGGAAAAAGTAAGAACGTAATATTTAACTAAACCCGTTTGTCTCTAATAGACGGTTTGCTTCTGATTTGCCTCTAATGACTCTTAAAGGTCAAGGAAAGCAGGTTTGTGACTATGTGATAGGAAACACAACAGGCCCAGACCTGCAGAACAGGGCAGTCAGCACAGAGGACCTAGTGTTCACACCATGCATGTTTTGAGGGCTTTTCTTTGGACCAGCTCTAACCTAGTCCCTCAGAGTGAATGCAGATTACTGGTTGGAGCACATCATCTAGTTTAGTTTTCAGTTGAAAAGGAATCCAGTACACATGCCAGAAAGCCGCTCCACTATGTGAATCAAACCACAATATATAGATCAGATTTGCTTCAGAAGTGCACTTCTGATCCACACTGAAATGCAAACATAATGCAGAGATGAGACCCACGGAAGAGTTAAGGGAGTATACGAGTACTATGGGATTAATTAGTATGGGATACGAACAAATATTTCACGTAGTTCCCTTAAGGACACATGACCTGTGCCTGTAGGGAAGGCGAAGGGCAAGGCTATCCTGTCTTTCTGCTGGTCTGACTCGGTTTTCAGACTCCCTGGGAGCCTCCGAGAGTGGAGATGCCTGCAAGAAAACACTTTTGACCCCTTTGAGGCTGAGTCACTAAGAATACACTAAGGTACAGCACTAACAAAATTGCTTGAACAGTTGAGGGAAGATTGACTGGGGAGAAGGGGCAGAGAACAGGGGAACCGTGGTCTGGACCAGAACTGCTCTTCTGCGAGAACCGAGCACTGTGGAAGCAGGCTGTCCAGATGTCGGTGAATGGGTCCCAAGGCTTTCAGAGAAACTGAGGCCACATGCTTCCCTGGCCATGCCAGAGACAACAGCTACCCTACAACAAACTTCGGTAAAACAACTTAGCTTGTAAAATAGGATATAATTGCTTGGTATTATTTTTGTTTTCCCTCAGATCTGATGCGACGCTCATGACCTCACCAAATGCTCTTTTGGATTTCACTCTGTAGGAGACCTTGGTTTTCCGGGCCCCACAGAAAGCCTCAGCACAGGGAAGAGCAAAGAATTAGACCCCATCATTCCCCTGCCTCTCCAGCTAAATTCTCTCTTTTCCAGAATGTTTGTGAAAATTTACTTTGTTTACTGCCAAGGAAAGAAGATGATTAACCAATATCCAGTGCAAGATTATTACAATACTTAGTATGGATTTTTAGGCAATGCAGAAAACGTTAATCTCCGTCAGAAAAAAGGATATCATACCAGGCAGTTAAGCAGTCTAAAACGCTTATTCTCACAATAACCTTCCGTATACAGAAAAAGCATTACAGAAAACATTTCATTCTGCTTTAACCACAGCAATAACTGGAAGGAAGTTACGTACCCATATTTTTCTGCAAGTTCTTTAGCCTCTTCTTCTTTCACCATTCTTTGGTCTTCCAGGTCACTCTTGTTTCCACATAGCACAATGTCAGGGTTTTCACAATATGCATGCATTTGTAGCTGACCTAACAGCAACAACATGAACAGGGGTCACAACTTACTGTCACACATAAAGCTCACTAAGAAGACTACCACATTTCAGGAGACACAAAGTCCTTCAGGAAAGCAATACTTTGAAAAACAGAAAACAAGTATGTCCTCTGTTATCTCACAGGACTTCTGCTATTACACACAGGAGAACAGATAGACATCCACGATCATGTACCCAGTGAAAAAACCAGGGAATAAGCCAGGGGAGCAGAAGCCTAACAAAGTTAGCACAGAAGCTGTGTATTTGTAGCTTAAGGAGTTACACGCACCAAGCATCTTCAATGAGCTGCCAGGAGAGGATATAATTCCCTCTCCTGGCCAATGATGCAGTTTGGGACTCCTTCACCCAGATATACCAGCCTAGTAACATTTGCCTTCCATTAAGTTTTGCTGACAAAGCTTTGGGTGAGCCAAAATAGAGTTTTGCATAGGCTTTCCAGACACTTAAATTACCTAATATCACCAGAGTCCAGGATATGATGTTCTCTCAGCTTGCTTTTATACAGGTTGAGATTCAAGTTCAGTAGGCAAAGCCGAATTTCAGGTAAGTGCTAGAAGCCACCACTAACAGCTATTACAGTTATGAACGCAACATTTACTTTCTTTTACCAAGCTATAAAACCCAGTACGTTCAGTTCTGTTTCTCAGTGAGACTCCATGTTTACATACATAGGCCCCTCCCTGCCCATGCAAAGAAAGAAAGAAGAAAGAAAGAAAAAAGAAAGAATAAAGAAATGCCATACTTATCCAGTTCCTGACATTCAGAAAACTTTGCTCATTCGTCAGATCAAAGAGCAGAAGAAACCCCATGGCATCTCTGAAGAAAGCCGTTGTCAAGCTACGAAACCTAGACCAGCGAAGTGAAATTAGCTGGCTCATCTGACAAGTTACTTTGAAAATATAATTGCATACAGTCATAAAACTGCGGTAACTTAAGACTGAATTAACTAGAACAAAATATTCATAATAATTGTTTTGCTGATGTAGGGATTAGATAACAAGAATTGCTACCATTACTTTGGCCAAATCAAGGTCTAGGGAAGACAAGGAGACATTTCACTTGAGCATGAGAGCTTTAGATAGTGTCTTCTACTATAAAAGATGACTTGATGAAGATTCAGAAATTAAAATAAGACAGAAATTCAAACTTCAAACAGAAATTTGTCCTCTATACACATCAGTTCTTGATTTTAACATTATCAACCACTAGGATGTTAGTCTTTTGACAGACAAATAGAAAAGAATCCTTTGACATTATTTCACCTGTCTGACTTTCCCAAGACCATACATATAAAACTTATAAATATATTTACAGAAATTTAAGAAAACTGAAAAGAAAAGCTTTAAAAATATCTATGTGCATTGGCTATGAAATAATAAACTGAAAGTTTCCAAAAGACAAAAAGCAACTATTACAGTTTGAATGCTCTACAGTTGTAAATTACAGCTGTAATTTAATTAGTATTCATAGGAAACTTTCCATCACTGTTAAAATTAAAGTGCACTTTCCCATCTTGAGTCATACAATTAAGATGTAACAATGAATAAAGAGAATTCATGTACTCAGTTGCATGATGACAACTGCCTCATTTGCTAGGTGGGGGGGCAGAACATACCTTTCCTGCCCTGCAGTATCCCAGAGCTGGAGATGTATCCTCTGTCCTCTGCCACCAACGCCATCTGGCCCATTGGGTCTATACACCTGTAAAAGGTAAATTTGCAAGACTGAGTGTTGGCAGTACAGCCTCTATGGAACACAAAATAACCGACATTTAAAGTCATTAAAATGCAGCAAAACTAGCATTGCCAATGCGAAGATCCCAACTACAACTCAATCCCTGCACTTTATAGGACAAAAGTAACATGGGTTGCATTTCAATTTTGCATCCATAGAATAGATAAAAATAAGGGTAACAGTGAAACTGGAAAAACAGTATCCAATAGACTATGGACTCCAGAAGATATTTAGTGGCCATTGAGTTTAATTAGGCAAGCTTAATTTTAGTATTTTGATTTTCTGGTTTTTTTTGCTATTGTCTTGTATCATGTTAAAATTAAAATGTAATTATAAGAAAGCAACAATTGGTTCATGCAATGTGTCAATAAATGTGTACCACTAACAGAACCTCATTAGCAAACAGAATATACTCATACAGACATCTCTTCTTAGCTGCTAAAAGATTGGTGAAAAAGAGCTGAGGGTAGACCTTATCACAGCTTAAAAAGCAGAAATTGCATGATATAATAAAAGCTGAAGAGTTGAAAATACAAATAAAGGCATCTGTCAGCTTTGGAAGGATCAGATAAAAATAGAATAATTTCTTGTTTAGAACACTTCATGTTAGGTTGTCTTCTTTACCTTCAGTTATCATTGTACCTAAGATTACCAAAGCTAAAAACATTCTCTTTAGAGATACAGGAGCTTGCTGAATTTGTTCATTATATGATTCAGGTTCTGAAACCTAAATCTTATCCCAAGTTATCAAATATGCTGATCAAGTAAACCCACCATGTTTACTATCCCACAAAAGGAATACTAACCTATCCAAGAGACTAGTTTCCCATTTCACTAAGATATTTACTCCTTCCACTACTGTGGTGCACATCATGCATCAAAAGCCAGTCTGCACAATGCCCAGGGGCATCCAGATTTGTGAACACTTGGGAAGTCATCAGACTACACTGAAAGGCATTTCATAATTCTACATAAGAAGGACTGAAAAAAATGTGTGTTGGCTTAATTTCTCAGTGCAGTTAAGGACTAGCATCCAATTGGTTATCATAATGCAATGCTCAGCTTCATGTCAAAAGTCTGCCTACTTGAATAATGATTATGGGGTTTAAAAAAAACAAAAACAAAACAAAACACACCCTACCTTATGTTTCACACTTCTCTGGTAAATAACCAGGTAAAATGGGATCCCTTCTTTGTCACAAGATGAAGTACACAGTTAACTACTGACTGCATGCCTACACATATGGATCAGCAGGTTAGAATTTTTTTTACAAATAGATTCTAGCCATTACCAAGACAAATACTGTTTTAAAGTAGCACACAGTTTGTGAAAACTCACCACTCTCTTTTCCCGAAAGTCAATGCCCACCGTTGTGATAAATTTGGAATTAAATTTGCCATCTGTATATTGGTAAAGGAGGCTGGTCTTTCCTACTCCAGAATCACCAAGTGCTAGAAATTTTATGAGGTAATCATAGTCCCCATCAGACATAGTGAGAATTCAGGAGACACCTTAAAAAGCAAAGCAAACAGGATTCATTAGTAAACAACTCTGACAAGGCTTCTTTTGTCAAATGTTTAAAATGCAAATCATTATTTGAACTACAAAGCATCCAGCAGTGGGACCAGTTCTGTACTCTTTCACACTGGCTGCACCTTAAACTCTCAATTATCAGTATCAAATTCAGCTTCACTGAAAAAAATGCAGGGTTAATTTTACCACATTCCTCATATTACAAAGAAAAGAAACACACTTTTAACTTCTGCAGGAAAGACTGAAAAATCAGCGTCAAAGTATGCCAGATATCCGGAACACAAACTGCAGAACTGTTTTTAATCTTCATGGAAGCTGGCAAAAGCTACTTAAATGTACCATCAATGCAATTCTGACCTCACATCCGCTGTGACATTATTAACATATGCCAAAAAAAAATTTCCAGACTGCCCACTATATTTAAATAGAAAATGATTGTCATTTTTATTAATAGCCATTTTTCAGTCTTGAAAAAGTTTTTTCATACCAGGAAGAAAAATAAACAAGCAACATTTTGTTGGTGGTTTTGCTGTGTTTTTTGTTTAGAGGACCAATTTTTAAAGTTTTCCAAGTTTTTATCACGATGCTAGTTAATAATTTATACTAAATCTTGATTCTGAATTGCCATTAAATAACACACACACTTTCCCGTGGCCCCTATGCATTTAAGAAATTTCTCTCTCCTTTTTGTGCCTTCGAAAAAGTAACCTATAGCCTGATCAAAGTGCAGTAACAGCTAGAACGTATAACAAAGATCACTGGCAAATTTCATATATACTAGAGAGAATGATGCAGTACGTGCAATAGTACTTTCATGTTGAGTAGCTACTGAGCCTCTCTTCCCCCAAAACAAACAGCAGAGAGCTGCCTTATGTTGTTTTCAAAGAAATGAACATGAAAAGATAAGCCTAAAATAACCATTCTAAAAGCAACATAAAACTGGCATTAAATTGCCTCTTATGAAGGAAGGAAATAGATACCAAATACAAAAAATAAGATAATGATGAAATAAAAACAACAAAAAAGTAAAATCTGCTGTTTCAACTGTAAATAAGTATTTTTGGAACTATTTGTAGCTTGAACTACATAAAATTATTCCTTTCAAGTCGAACACTGCAGTAGTTTGCATCAATGGCAAAACACCAATTCATTTCCTGAACAGCAACTCACAGCCTGAGGTTTGGCACAAACTCCATATCTCAAGTATGTGGGCATCAATCACCACCACTAAGCTAAAACCATAACTATCTTTAAAGCTTCAGTTTATTTTGGTACTGCTCTTGGTTATAAGGCAGAACGGTGATTAGTCGACTTAGCCATGGCTGGACTTAATCAAACACAGGTAACAGTCAGATTTACACCCAGATACTCTCCAACTGGAATGGAAATTGCCATTTCAGGAAAGCACCTGAAATTTTTTTTGCCATTTCCACTTTTGAAGTCTCCCTTTCCCCAGCCAAGGAATATTTTACATTATGCCCTCAAGGACAGTAAAACCTTGCAGAAAAGGGCTTTTAGGTGACAGAGTTCACACTCACTACCACACCACAGCCAGCTAATTCACTTTCCACTGTTGTGTTCTAACACAAAGTTTTGCAATACAGTAAAAGATTGAAACAAAAACCCCCACGGTACCAGTTACCAGTGAGCTTTTCACATAAATACACCAACAACTGCCGGCCTGCACCCACCACGCAGTGTGAAGGGGCAGTATATTCAAGCGAGCACACGGAACAGGCAGCCACACACTGAGATAAAAACATTTTTAGAATAAATTAGACATCCTGATCCATTAGACACACACCTACCAGCAAAAGAGCTCTTTGGGGTTTGTTTTGGTTTTAAAATCCTCCCCGCTATTGGGGAAGGAAAAAAAATAAGTAAAATCAGAGCGCCTACCTCGTAGCTCTACAAAGGGTCTTTTCATTGAAATGCACTAGAAGAAAGTGAAAAATATTTTTAAAAGCAAACAAGGAGGTTTTTACTAAAGACTGTATTTGATTTAGACTCCCATGTCTTCTATGGTGTTTCTTTTGCCCTCAGGTGTTCTCCAAGGGCAAAGGGCCGTATGAGCTCCCCCTCTATTTATGTACATGTTCTTTCAGCTGCAATACCCTGAAATTAATTGTTGCTTAAAGAGGCTTAAATGCAAATCTTAGGACCAGCGTAGACACAAAGACAAGCTAGCTTCATGCCTTTTGCTATGCTACCCCACTTGTACAGAAGTCTTTGCCTTGTCTGGTTGGCACTTTGTTTGCTACCTATAGGTATATAGAAAATACTTTCAATAAAAGATACAAATGACAGTGCCGCCTAATCACTGCTAATTTATGTTGTAAGAAAGCTAATTAATCTTGCGCCCTGTGCAAGACCTTACGGAGGAAGAAAGGGTGCTGCAGCTCTTACTCGGAGCTGTAAGAAGCTGTTACGGTTCAGCTGCACCCTTCCACTGCACAGAACTGGGTGAAAGCTCCGGTTAAAAAGAAAAGGTCACGGTTAGACCTTGGGGAAGTAAAAACTAAAAGTATTTCTAGTCTTACATCTGATTTGTAGAGTATCTGTTTGGACAAACATGCCACATCATTCGTACCACTTAAACCTCAATTCTCCATATGGCTGGTAACAAATACAATTTGCAAACAACTGATAGAGGACTAGGAGCCCTTCACAGGAAGGGCATAAAGATGCCTTCTAAAGGATTTGCTTGAGAAGGAAATTTTCTCCTTAGGCTTTTGAAAGGCACACACCTTTCACTGCACCCCACAATGTCAATCTATTATTAAAATATCTCCAGGGAGTGGTTCTTGTGAAACCCTGCACAGTTAGCCTATCCTTGGAGACATGCAAAGAGCTAGTTTCGTAGCACTTTCAAGCCTTGTCCTCCTCCCTGTACAAATATTTAAAAAGTGATCTCCACCCTCTACTTCCAGGACCTGCAGTCCTCGGGCCCAGACACATCGAGCTCCATACGACAGAAATAAGAATATATTCACAGCAAAGTATATTCATAGCAAAAACTGCTGTGGAGTTTTTAAAAGTCATGGCCCTGTTACTATAAAACCATCCAATTTTTTCCTTCCAATTTTACTTTTTTAAAAGTTAGGCTTTATAGCTTCACACCTTCCAGTCTTTCCTTCACATTTCTATACCTTGTGTATCAGAAAAGTGGGAGGTAGAAAAGGAAGAATCATAAAAAAGAGATGATACAATTAGAATTCATCAGGTCACAAAAAAAAAAACCCAACTAAATTCATTTGAGAATGATCATTCCCAAATCTTGCTTCTAAGACTAAGAACTTGGCTGAAGAAATTCAATGATGGACAGTTTATGCTCCACATCAAGCCTTCCAGGGTTTTTGCCTTTTGTAAGCCCCTCCTTGAATCCCATTCAGCTCTGGCTTTGCACTTCCCCTAGCACGCAGAAGCACAGGGGCCTATGGGCAAGTGCTGGGAAAACGCCACTGGCCTTTTCCATTGCCGACAGGACACTTAGGCTGTGCCAGTACGGTTGCCGCTCTGATGCCTCCACATACACACACATCCAGATCGTGGCTTGCTAAGAAGGGATGCTCTGCAAAGCAAATGCCAATTTCCTAGTCCAAGGTACTTTCACATTAACAGGCATCAGTGTTAAGAGGCTCGTAGTTTTGCCTCCAGGACATAAATATAACAACCCTATTGTGTGATAAAACATTCAAGACTATAGCAGTGTTATTCCTGAATAAATTAAGGAAATTGGCTTGGCATGCAGGATTTCCCCTGTGCAGTATGAGGATAGGAAATATGCTTTCTGAACAAACTGGCCTTGCACAAATGGTGCTGCTACAGAGTTCATGGAGGGGAGACTGAAGAAGGAAGAAGGCACAAAGAGATTAATAAATGAAAACACAAGCCAAAAAAAAGCAAAAAAAAGCATTGAGCTGCAAATAAAAATGTGTACACACACACAATGTAAAATTCAGGAAATCTGTACATGCTCTTAATCAGATAGTCTTCAAGCACATCAATTTAAAGTAAAGCATACCACTTACCCCGAACTCTGCTAAATGAATAGCTAGGGCACACTGGAGACAGTACTTCCAGTAGGAGTGCTTTTCTAGCACTACCTCTTTAGCACACAGCCAAGAGGCTTACGTGTCATCTGTTTGCATTCACGTTGATGGGTGCTCAGAAATAAAGAGGTGTGCCTCATGTCTCCACGGCTAAGGAGGGTGCTGCCTGACAGCATGGCTGGGAAGCAATTACACAGTTCACATCTCCCATTTATTCCTACAGGCAAACAGCATTTCAGAAGAGATTTGTGCATGACCTAGGAGCAGATGTAAAGTACTTCCTGAATGACCCACACACCTTAATACAATTACATTGTGCCTAACAAGTGCTTTAATATAAAAATACATTAACGATGGAGTATATGGATCACAGCTGTTCAGTTCCATTCATAGCTTTACATCTTTCTCTCTCAGGTGCAAGGAGAATACAGCTATCTCTAATGCAAAACGATGTTTTCTTTCTTTCTCTCTTGTACAGGCTTGAGGACACCACACTGTCCCATGGGTACCATGGTGAAAGCCATCTATCTCATCCTACCGAGATCACAGAATCATAGAATGGCCTGGG